TTATCCATGATACTGATAATGAAATAAAAAAAAGGTGTAATCTACAGGCAAAACACGAACATCAGTTAAATGAGCCCCGAACAGAACCAAATAGCATCTTGCTTTAATATAATAAAATTTTCTTGAAAAGTTTTCCCTTCCGACTCTTTTTCCCTTGTAACTTTGTAGCTTTACATTTTTGCCCAGTTTTATTTTTCCTTCCAAATTTATTGATGTCTGAAGTCACCCCTAGACTGTCCGGCCCAGCTCTTGACAGGTACAGCCATTGACTTAACATTGTTTTCCGAAGACTTTGGACACCTCTAAATCTTCTTTTCACAAAAAAAGTATGTTATTTGCTGAAATTCTGTTGACACATATGGATAGCCGATCAGTTCACACACCAATAGGGTTTCTAATATATGCTTTTAGCCTTCAAACTTAAAACTGCAGTTTAAAAAACCTCAATCACTGTCTGAAATCACCCCATCTTACAGTACTTCTTTGGTTGAAAATAAACCTAAAGAAGGAATGAGCAAAATTCAACATTTCATTGGAAATCGTGCTGGACTTTTTTCTTTTGTAAATCTTGCTAGACTTTTTTCCTGCACATACTACAGTATTATATAAGTAATCTACACTAATCTCTTATCAATTTCATGATCTTGTAAATTATATGCAATTTATTTTAAAACACACACACACACACAAGCTATAAGAACAGCCCAGTCCCAACCTACAGCATATTTGTATCACTTATGTTACCTGTATATCATTTGTAAATCAAGAGACCCATTCCCCAATTATGTAAATGTATATTTTCAGCCTTCCAGCTGCCATGCTATTTCAATAAACCGTTAATTATTAATTATTATTATTGCACACACCCAGCTCACGCTCCACGATAAACTGAAGGAGTAATTGTCTCCAGTCAACGATATTCATTTCCATTGTTCTCTCTGCCTACTGTAATGATGAGTCCTGGTTTAACCAGGACTGTATAATCAATAATCATGCTGTAGGACTATAAAATTTCTCACATTATCAAGTCCCAAAAATTACTTTTTTCTCTACCACTTTATTAACAAACTTTTCATCTTACTCTCAGAGCAACAGCCGTAAAACCTTCATAAAAAAGAATATCATTTGTTTCCGATTTTTTTTTTGTCATTAAATTCTGAACATACTGTACGTCAGGTTGAACTGTTAGATGGGTACTGTACAGTACTGTATATGACATTTCCCTGGCCCTACTGCCGTTGCTGCCTACCTCTGGCATAACATGGAGCAGTAATAATAATCATCCAAGTTGTGTTATTGTACAGCCTGTAACTGAAGAAAGAATAACAGTAATTTTATGGTAATCAGCCAACACTGCCTGTGCTAAGCATTATAAATGTACTGGACTGTACTCATAAATTACAACTTCATCTCATGTGTTCAGTACAGTCTGTACCTTTAGATAAAACTAACAATGATCAAGACAATATAATACACGTACTCTATTCGACTGATTTGTGCCTGTAGTTGCTTTTGTGTGTAAATTTGCATTTTGTACATCCAACAATATAAATAAATAAATGACCTCGTCACCAAACTCACTCTCGCACGTTAGTAATATACATTATCATCGTCACTTGCAATCGAAACAAAGCAAAACTCTGGAATCTGCAAATCAACACACCATAATTGCGACAACAAAAATTGATCAATCAACTTCAACAAAATTTTCTTTTTTAGCTTTTGTTTGCCTTAAATCTACAGCTTCAAACAGCTAAGCCAAATCCACATGTAATAAGGCCCACAATTTCTATAAATCCAGAAGCTCTTTAATTAACCTCTTGAGGTCCAGTACTGTACTACATAGCAAGGCACAACTTGTTTACACTTTAATATATGGGTCCCAGAAGGTATGGTATACTGTACATTGGAGATATGACCCAACTTCAAGACACCAATGCTCTCTGACAAAAAATGAGATATACTGTAATGCCATCCTTCCCATTTCAACTTTTAACTTGCCATTGTCCATTTATTAAACTCTTCAACATGACGTCATGATAACAACTGCCTTTGCTGGGACTTATATGCTACTGTAGTTCTTCACTCCAAGATCTTACACCAATGACGAAAAAGAACATCCCTTCCCGAAATTCAAATATACATACAGTATAGAGTTCTTCACGAACTGGCATCAAGTTACACATCCTTCTGGATACTGCACCGGTAATAGTTCTTTGCCGGGAAAGTAAGCCAATGTACACGCAGAGAACTTCCATGTTGGTTACGACTACACATACGCAAGATGCTGAATATTGTTGTTCAGATACTGTACCATCATCACATCCACCAACAATGTAAGAAATTAATCAATACAACATATCAAATAATGTCAACTTGTTTATCTGCATAACAATGGTAAACTCACTACCCAAATATCGTTAATGCTTTTCCAGCGGGTGAATTAAAAATAACATGTTACGTGAAACACCACAATGGCAGATGGGACACGGTAAACACAATGCCCCTCGGCCTATGAAAACAATTTAAGTACAGCTTATGGTATAGGACTTTGCAACCTCAGTGCAAATGTATAACTATAAGTTTTATTCAAGCATTCAATTTCTTGATCATTATTTGTGACACTCTCAAACTTGATACATTTCCAGGAAAATTATGTATACTAACAACCTGTACTTTGTTTAACCCATTAAGTAAAGCCTATAGCTTCATGATTAACTGATCACCAATTCTAGACCAAGTTGTCATCCACTGGTCGCCAGACACACACAGTTGGTGTTGTAGCAGGAATACTTATTCCTCTCCAACCTTCCATTGATTACATCAATTATTTCTAATAAAAAATGATAAGTTCACATGAATCAATAGTTTTCAATAATTTTTTAGTCCTAAAAAAGTTTAAAATACTTAACATTCACCGACATAAAAGGAGCAGTGTACACTAACTTCCACAACCCTGACGGCTGCCCACCCAATTTGTTGTCAAACATCACGAGCAGAAAACTATATAAAAATAGAGGAGCAGTGTACACTAACTTCCACAACCCTGACGGCTGCCCACTCAATTTGTTGTCAAACATCACGAGCAGAAAACTATATAAAAATAGAGCTTATAAATCTCATATACTGCAGAAAGGCATAAGTAATACAACGACTTCATGTCACAGATACACCTTGTAGGACTGACACTGTGTACAGGACATCACCGAGTCTCCCCAGACCATCCAGACTGTTACCTCACCACACTTGTTTTGTGGTGTAAATCAGCTCATTTTCTATGAGTGAAGGTTTTCCAGAGATATAAATTCACCTTTGTTCAATAAATCACATTCTTAGTGGGTCTGGCAGCCATTTTTTATTGGAAATTTAACTCCCCTTTCCCTGCATGTATTTATAAGTTTGGTCAGTTAGAAGCTGAAGACACTTCCAAACCAAACTTTTAACATGAACAAGGGATTATTAAAAAGGAATCATATATGAAAATTACATCCACAAATCTCACATTTTGTCTGCCAGTAACCCAGAATATTTGTCACATATCATTCACCCCATGCGCCCTACCTTGATGGCGAGAGACCCATCTAATATAAAGAGGTAATGACTTTCCTGTTAAGACCGCCATGGCCTTGACAATAAAAATTAAGACACCACACCTTTTGCCCTTCAAACCTTATCCTCCTCTCTTTTGAACAGTTAGACAAACCTTCTCGATAGGTTTTCCCTCAGGGTTTGCCCCCCCCCACCCCCCTCTTATGGTCACCCTCCACCCCATCCCTCAAGGTTCACTGCTAATTGAGAGGGAGAGGAGGGAGGGAGAAGTGTTTTTTTAACTACTTGAGATCACTTTTGCTTCGTCACATGACAGAATGGTTACTTTTGCTGCCACGTTTGGAAAAGAAAATATCCAAAAATGTTGAAATATTAATAAAATCTTTGAAGTCAATCATTTTGCTGTAGTTACAGGTAACCCCCCACCCCCAAGTGCTACATATATCCCATTAATTTACTCAAAGTTAAGCCCTTTTTCAATGCTAACAACCACATAATTACCAAAATAGAGAGGGTACTTCTTGTTATGTGCTACTACTGGGTACTTTTTATGTGCCATACTTCGATCAAGACTCAGGTTTTAATTAAAGCCTTGAACTTCAAAATGTTTTATTTTTAAGGTTTCCAGGGTGCAGTATAACCAACCAACCACCCCCACCGAAGACAATGTTCTTTCTCCGTATCAAATTAATTTTCCTTACCAATTCTGCCGTTTGTTTAGCATTGTTTAAAACGCCGCTGTGTATCACCACAACAATGCTTTTTTGTTTTCGTCCAAGTTAATTAGCCTGACAGGCACATCATAAATATATTATATATAGGTCATTTTTTAGTTTATCTTACACTCCCATAATCACCCGTCCATAATCCAGAAGCAATTTTGAATTTGTGTTAATGATATCTATTTTGCTCGAAGTATCTATACATTTCCTTTATTTTCAATTGTCTATGGTTTTAAAGGTATGTTTATACTCCTAACCATTTTCGTCTGAGGCCCATTAGCCAACCTAATTGAATCAACAGGACTTTTCCTTGAGAGAAGATGTGGCACAACCAACTCTAATGCTGTACCTAGTTGAAGAGACAAGTGTTCCTGGTGCTCAAGTTATAACACAAGTGTTCGCTCAAGACAAACACCACCACTTGACACACTTCCTCAAAGAGTGATGAGGTACAATGGGGAAAAGATTTTATAAAGAAAATACTAGAACAATGGCAAGTTTTCAAAAGCAAATTAATTAATTCCAATTAAAAAAAAAGTTACCAACAATTACAAGTTGAAATGGGATGAAGACCGACCACAAAACTATTAAGTTAGTTGTGACCAACCCACAACACTTGCCCATTATGCTACTAAGGCTAAGCCATGTGGCCAAACACCACATAACTGACCAGACTGTATTCTTCAAGAGTATAAAACCCAAGTTGGAAATTTAAAGTGGAATACTTACCGGAGGAGGCGGGAGCTCACTCTCACTGCTGCCACGCTGGTATGCACTGCGACCTGCAATGAAACAAATAAAATATGGCTTTAACAACTATAGACAGCTTACTTATGACACACAAGCTCACTATGAAAGACTGACTGTCTGTGCAAGACTAACTATTTTATAATAGCTGAAGAGCACGATGGGGCACTTACTGTCACTCTGCCAGGGATCAGGACGACCATCCCAGCTACTGTCTGCCCAGCTACTGCCCAGACCAGACGAGCTAGTGCCTCCACGACTACCTGCCATCCCAGAACGACCCCAAGAGTCACTACCACCACCACGCCAGCTGCTGCCTCCCTGGGATCTGTAACTGTCACTGTTGCGGCGCCAGTTGCTGCCCTCGGTGCCTTGATAACCAGTACTTCCAAAACTGTCTTGGCTATTTTCATTCTTCAACATATCACTAGCACGTTCCTGCCAATTAAAAGGACATTATAATCTTGAACCTATCACTTATTATTATGCAGAACTTCAAGAAATTATCAAATAGATGAAAAGAATTATTAGAATTACTGATCTATCACTTATTATTATTAGTCACAATTTTAAGAAATTATCAAATAATCTGTCAGTAAGAATTAACATCTCACTGATCACACTAATATGTGCTACACAACCATTCATTACACTGATACATCCACCTTCTTCAACATCCAACATTAAAAACTTACGAGAAAAATTGAACTAAACATTAATTTTACACCGACAAAGCACAAACCTGCATAAATTGTCGGTTCTCCTCCTGACGTCTGCGGAGCTCCTCCTCTTGCTGACGGAACTTCAATGACAATTCTTCCTCCTGGCGACGCTGTCTTTCCTCTTCTGTGCGGCGGTGTTCCTCCCACTCACGCTGACGCGCTTCGTAATCTGACTTTGTACGCTGATTCATCTCTTCCCTCTGGCGTAACTCTGTCGGATAAACACCATCTATGAGTCGGACTATAGTCTAACGGTGTCCTTAGTTCCCTACTGTAAGTCATGTGTCACAAGAACGTCACTAACACCCAACAGACTCCTTCAAAGACTTGCAAACCGATGAAAAACAAGCATTTAAGATACCCGTTGTGTTGATCTTTCCACAAACTACATCAAGATCCCTCGACTGGACACAAAACTACCTGATTTTGCCAACATTTCTCAAAGATTCAATCATTATATAAAACTTTACACACCAGGGTAAGACCACATACACACCGTTGCCATCCTCCAGGTATTTGAACGCCTCGTTGAAACCACCGTCACTACTTTCATATTTTAGAAGCACCAGACAGCCTTCAATAACCTTCAGCATGTGATCGATCCATCCTGACAAGTTTATTTGATGGGTGGGAGGGAAACACAGGAAAGACCAAAGTTTCTTTATTTGTCTAATGTTTTTATGGAGAACAATACATTGAGAGGAATAAAGAAACTTGGCTGTTTCCTGTGTTTCCCTCCCACCCATCAAATAAACTTCAGCACACTACCAGACAGACACCATGAAGGTTAGGAACCCCAGCTGTTCTTCACCTCATAATAACCCCCGCCCCCCCCCAACTTAACATAACCTAACCCCCCATAAATCTCAAGGTCGTACAGTATGTAAACAACAGCAGCCGTCTAAGTACTCACGTTCTCTGAGCATCTCTGTCTCGTGCTCGTACTTGGCATATTCTATCTGTTCCTCCAATTTCCTCTTCTCGTCTTGTAACTCTTTGTCCAGAGCGTCTTTCTTCTTATCAAACAGTTCATACAGCTGCTTCCATTTCAAGCCATACCTGTGAGAACATAAATTAATTATTCCACCTGGCAATGTCGTAAAACACACAAGACATTTAAATTCACTAATACAGCTGCACTTCATCAACATCTTTAAATTCATTAACATGTCTGCATCATCATCAATGTTTAATAGCACCTAAGGATTCCCTACTATTACTCCTACACAGGCACAAAAATCAAATGCAAAGAACAAGAAACATCCACTGGCCACCGTCCCTACAGCCAACTTCCACTGATGATGGCCACCGTTCCTACAGCCAACTTCCACTGATGATGGCCACCGTCCCTACAGCCAACTTCCACTGATGATGGCCACACAGCCTTCCACTGATGATGGCTCTACAGCTAACTTCCACTGATGATGGCCACAGTTCCTGAAACTTCCACTGATGATGGCCACCGTCCCTACAGCTAACTACACTGATGATGGCCACGTCCTACAGCTAACTTCCACTGATGATGGCCACTCCCTACAGCTAACTTACATGATGGCTACAGATGATGATGGCCACCGTCCCTGCCTTTCCACTGATGATGGCCATACAGCCGATGATGGCGTCCTACAGCTAACTTCCACTGATGATGGCCACTGTCCCTACAGCTAACTTCCACTGATGGCTCCCTACAGCGTGATGATGGCCACTGTGTGATGATGGCCACTGTCCCTAACTTCCACTGATGATGGCCACTCCCCTACAGCTATTCCACTGATGACACGTCTACCTTTCCCACACTGGACCATCCTTGATGATGGCCACTCCTACCTTCCTGATGGGCCACTGTCCCTACAGCTAGCTTCCACCCCTGGCAGGCCACTCCTACAGCTAACTTCCACTGATGATGGCCAGTCTACAGCCAACTTCCACTGATGATGGCCGTCCCTATTCTTACCACTGATGATGGCCACGTCCCTACAGCTACTTCCACTGATGATGGCCACTGTCCTACAGCTAACTTCCACTGATGATCCTGCAACTGATGATGGCCACAACACTGATGATGGCCTGGATGATGGCCACAGTAAATTTACTGATGATGGTGATACCTGCCACCGTCTACAGCTAACACTTGATGATGATGGCCACAGTCACCTAACTTCCACTGATGATGGCCACCGTCCTACAGCTAACTTCACTGATGATGTGGCCACTGATGATGGCCACGTCCCTACAGCTAACTTCACTGATGATGGCCACCGTCCTACCAACTGATGATGGCCATGTCTGCACAGATGATACCTACTGATGATGGCAGTCCCTAACACTTTGATGATCTTTATGATGGCCACGTCCTACAGCCAACTTGCACTGAACTGATGATGGCCACAGTCCAGGCATGATGATGGCCACACAGCGACTCCTCAGCCACTGATGATGGCCACCGCTATGATGGCCTACCAATTGACTGCTTTCACACTGATGATGGCCACCGTCTCAATGAATGGCCTTCTTCCACTGATGATGGCCATCCTTAACTTCCACTGATGATGGCCACCGTCCCAATTCCACTGATGATGGCTCCTCAGCCCCACTGATGATGGCCACCTCCCTACAGCTAACTTCCACTGATGATGGCCGTCCTACAGCACTGATGATGATGGCCACCGTCCCTACAGCCACTTCCACTGATGATGGCCACCACAGCGATGATACCACTCCCCTACACTGATGATGGCCATTTCTCCCCACAGCTTTCCACTGATGATGGCCACCGTCCACAGCCACCTTCCACTGATGATGGCCTGACCACAATTCCACTGATGATGGCTCCCTACAGCCATGATGCCACCTCACAGCCACTGATGATGGCTTTCCATACCACTTACAGCCATTCCACTGATGATTCCCTCGATCCCCTTCCACTGATGATGCACTCCACACAGCCAACTTCCACTGATGATGGCCAACTTCCACTTATCCACCATGGGCCACCTCCTACCTTCCACTGATGATGGCCACCGCCCTACAGCTAACTTCCTACTGATGATGGCCACCGTCCTGGCCTTCCACTGATGATGGCCACCGTCCCTACAGTAACTTCCACTGATGATGTGCAGTCACCTCCCACAGCCTCTCTTTGATGATGGCCACCGCCCCTACAGCTACCTTCCACTGATGATGGCCACCGTCCCTACAGCTGGCTTCACTGATGAAGGCCACCGCCTACAGTAACTTCACTGATGATGGCCACCGTCCCAGCTAAACTGATGAAGGCTTGCAACTTCACTGATGATGGCCACCGTCCTATTTCACTGATGATGGCCGGCCCCTCAGCCCCTACAGCTTCCACTGATGATGGCCGTCTTCACAGCCAACTTTCCACTGATGATGGGTTGATGCCCTACATGAGCTCAACAGTTCCACTGATGATGTGCAGTCCCTACAACAACACTGATGATGGCCACCGTCCCCTACAGCCAACTTCCACTGATGATGGCTACCGTCCCTACCTTCACTTCCGCCCCTACTGATGACCGTCCCTACAGCTGATGCATGATGTGGCCGTCCCTACAACCGATCCACCGTACAGCTAACTTCACTGATGATGGCCACCTCGTCCTACAGCGCTTCACTGATGATGGCCACTGTCCCACCCAATTCGGCTGATGATGGCTACCGTCCTATCCCGTTCCACTGATGATGGCTACCGCCTAAGCTAACAACTTACACTGCATTCCTGCCTTGCCGTCCTACAACCAACTCACTGGTTATTCCACACCGTGAACTGCACTGATGATGGCCACCGTCCCTACAGCTAACTTGCACTGATGATGGCCACCGTCCCTACAGCTAACTTGCTGTGATGCGTCCCACCACTAACACTGATGATGGCCACCGTCCTACAACTAACTGCACTGATGATGTGCCACCGCCCTTCCTGCCAACTTCCACTGATGATGGCCACCGTCCCCTACTAACTTGCCTGATGATGGCCACTGATGATGGCCGTCCTCAGCTCTAACGCACCGCCTACAGTGACTTCTGCCAACTTCCACTGATGAAGCCACCGTCCTGCTAACTTGCTGACTTGCAACTTGCACTGATGATGGCCGTCCCTTGACAATAACTTCCCACTGATGATGGCCACCGTCCCTACAGCTAACTTCCTGATGATGGCCACCGTCTGCTAACTTCGCGATGATGTCACCGATGATGGCCCACCGATGATGGCCACGTCCCTACAGCTAACTTGACTGATGATGGCAGTCCCTACAGCTAACTTGCACTGATGATGGCCCGTCCTACAACCGCTCCACTGATGATGGCCTGTAACGCGTGATGGCTCCCAGCTAACACTGAGATGATGATGGCCGTCCTACTGATGATGGCCAACAGCGCTGATGATGGCCACTGTCCCTACAACTAACTTACACTGATGATGGCCACCGTCCCTACAGCCAACTTACACTGATGATGGCCACCGTCCCACAGCTAACGCACTGATGATGGCACTATCCCTGCAGCTAACTTCACTGATGATGGCCACGTGTACTTCACAGCTAACTTGATGATGGCCACCGTCCCTATAACTTCACTGATGATGGCCACCGTCCCCAGCTAACTTACACTGATGATGGCCTGTCCACAGCTAACTTCCACTGATGATGGTTAATAGCACTGATGATGGCCAAAGATGATGGCCACTGCCCTGCTCTTACACTGATGATGGCACTCCCTACAGGATGATAGGGCACTGATGATGGCCACTATCCCTCAGCTAACTTACACGATGATGGCCACCGTCCCTACAGCTAACTTGCACTGATGATGGCCACTCCCTACAGCTAACTTCACTGATGATGGCCACTATCCCTACAGCTGCACTGATGATGGTCCCTACAGCCAACTTCCACTGATGATGGCTAGGATGATGGCCACCGTCCCTACAGCTAACTTGCACTGATGATGGCCACCGTCCCTACAGCCAACTTCCACTGATGATGGCCACCGTCCCTACAGCTAACTTCCACTGATGATGGCCACCGTCCCTACAGCTAACTTCCACTGATGATGGCCACCGTCCCTACAGCTAACTTGCACTGATGATGGCCACCGTCCCTACAGCTAACTTGCACTGATGATGGCCACCGTCCCTACAGCTAACTTGCACTGATGATGGCCACCATTCCTATATCTATCTTCCTGATGGTGGCTGCTGTTTTAATGGTTAACAGAAAAAGTACTTACTCATATTCAAAGGATCCAGGATGTGCAAAGCGTGGTCCCTGCTGCCGCTCCTTAACATACTCTGGATTGCGCTTGTTTACATTTATTTCACTCATTCCTTCATTATCATCAACTAGAGCCATCTGTTCCACTATAACTGGACGGGGAGACCTGCAACACAAAATTAGTACCAACAGTTATCAACGTGCGCTGGTCTTCAATCCTAATACACGAAATAAAAGTAAGATTTATGCCCATTAGTATATTTTGCCAGTCACTGAAGGCCCCTCAAACGTGGGTTACGATGACATAAAATGGGACACTTCTATACCCCACACAGCAAAGGCTCAATACAAAGTGCCTTTACTATCGTCAAAAGCAAAGTATCGAGTCAAATAAACAGTAACCCGAGTACAAGTTGAACGTACAGTATATTGACATTACTAGCTTCTTTTTAATCATAAAATAACCAAGATGATAAATTGAAGCAACGACCGCCATATAAGGAACAGAGACAATGGTGGAACACAACCATATAACAAGATCCCTCTACGTTACATATACTGTACATACATGAGTATTAATAACCTTTTAGTATCCACGTCAAACAATCCCTAGACACCAGTATGGCTAAGGTAAGGTAAGGGCAATTTCACAAGAAAAATAATGAAACTCACGAGACCATAAAGAAACATCCTTCGTTGCACTTTTTGAGCGCCAAATTGGCAGAAGGTTTCTTACAGAACTCAACGATGCCTTCACCAGTAGCGCGTCCACGTTCATCGGTAATGACAATAGCTTTTTCAAGTTCCCCAAACACCTTAAAGAAAAAAGGAAGAAATAATTAGTTATATCACACAAAAATTACTCTACTAATTTCACCTAACGATTAACAATCACTACAGGGACGTAACTTAATATTTCATTTGGCTAACACCAGATGATTTTATTCAGCTCAGAGGAGACCCTGTACACAAGTGGTTAACAGGAAATATTGGTTATGTTGAGTTAGGCTTCATTAGGTTAGCATTTGGGTAAACTAAGCTGAGTCGGTAAAACCTCAAGTGATCCAAATAATTTATCATAGTAACTATAGCTTAATATTTCATTTATAACAAATACACAACTTTCTTCATCAAGACTGGGGTCAGTTTTGAGACCATGACAAGTGAAGAGTTTACTACAGTACAGTTCTGTATATGGAACAGTTTGGTACAGTGGGTGAAGCAACCATCACCTTGCAGTAATCAAGAGTTAATTTAATCACTTTCAATAATACTGAACATACTCTTCAGATTTCCTGTACAGATTATTTCATCACACGTACCGAAAAGGCTTTCTCTAAAAGCTCATTTGTAACCCAAGTAGAAAGATTGCGGATCTTGAGTGCTGTGCCCGGCGATGAGAATCGAATTTTGAGCTGTCGTCCCTTGTAATCCTTCAGGTGAAGTTCTTGCCGTGCTTTCTCGGCATTACTTTTAAAGTCCTGAAAATTATTGTTGAATATTTAATTAACTTCATTCCTCCCACCAAGATAATATAAATATAATATAATATACTGTAGCCATATGTAGGTAACATTATCTCGCTCACTACTACAGTACACAGACAGAACAGTTTGATCAAAGTCTTACCATGCGAACAAAGGCAAATCCTTTGTTTTTGTCAAAATAAACTTCATCAAACTCTCCATATGGTTTAAAAAGTTCCTTAACATCGTCCTCCTTAATGTCCAGGGGCAGGTTTCCTACCCACAGTCTGCAGTGATTAGAAAATTTGCGAACAGCTTCCTCCCTCGGTGGCAGATCAATTAAGGGTCCAGCGAGTTGTTTCAGGCGTTCTAAGATTCTGTCTTGATGCTGAAATTTTCAAGATAAAATAATATTAACATAAACTATCTCAAGAAACAAAGCTTCTATAGATATATTTAGACAAAAACTTTAAAGGAAAATCTCGGTGTGTGAATTTTGAAACATTAAAAAGTGGTGAACAATGTTACAAGAAATCATTGTTAGATGACTTTAGGATTACTGTCACACACGAGGCATGACCAAAACCAAACACTGTAAACTTACAACAAATCTATTACATACCATAGCTGGTGGGAAAATACAATTGGGTAATGCATGATTCTTAAGTTACCAAACACGTGTATATTGATTGACATTTTGTGTGAAAGTAGGAACTTCTGGGCTGGCAATTCTACACACACAACAAAAAAGATTAATAAAAACCTTCGATACAAGGCTCTACTTTTGGCAAAGTTTCTTGAGTGATATATTTCAAGTTCTCCCCCACACAATACAAAAATATATACCAAGGCAGCAATACCCCCATCCACAACTTACAATTTTTTTTTTTAAGAATACATTATTTTACTATTTTAAAAAATAACTTAATTTGTGCACAAATAAACGTTTTAAAATCAAAGCTGTTGTACTGTAGAAACTGACAAAGAGTGAACCTTAAGGTAACCATGGCTGTTGTATAAACTGTACAGCTTAGCTTTCCTGTATCCTGTAGTTCTTAATTAATTTGCTGATAAACATGGCCATCCAGCCTCCAAAGACCTTAACTGGCGACTAAGGATTCCCTACTCTGCACCCCCTCCCCCCCCCATGGAGTATCCATGAACAAACGCCCACTGATGATGGCCATCATCCCTACAGTTAACTCCCAGTGATAATGGCCATCATCCCTACAGTTAACTCCCAGTGATAATGGCTACCATCCCTACAATTAACTCCCAGTGATAATGGCTACCATTTAAGGGTTTAGAACACAACAAAATAATATTTCCTGAAGTTATTAAATCCTGCTCATATTTACTGTGGACATTCAACTACACTACTGAAGTCTGTTCACCTCTCCCCCTGAACCACAAACCCCCGAGAGATTCAGACTCGCGAACCCAATGAAGTAGGTAGATACATTATTCTGTCCATAAATGCTTCGGATTCGTGGGTCTAAATCTCGGGTTCGTAGTTCAGGAGAGGAGAACGGACTTTAGTAGCTGACTGCACTGTAGTACTCTAATTACAATATATCATATTGACCTATACTGTACAGTAGGATCTCAAGTTTAGCGAGTTTTAGATTCGCGATTCCTAAGTTTCAAATCACTTTTAAAATTCCAGCCTCTCAAAAATACAGATTTTCATTACCAGTGTCACGAGTCATTGTTGAGTGGACAGCGCGCATTGTCATGGTCTTTTGTTATCTGTCGACCCGCCGAGTGGTTTTTTGTTTATGGCCTAACTACAGTTAGTTTGAATGAGCAAGCGGTGCAGTGACCTTGGATTATATAACCCTGTGTGCTCACGTTTCGTGAGATTCTTGTTTAACTATTAACGATTCTTGTGTATTAACGACGAGTGAAGTGTGTAATGTAAATGTCGGGAGCGGTTCTGGTTGCAATGATGGCCATAGAGAAGGTCAACAAGGGAAGCCCCAAGCCAGGCGTGACTACCGTAATGGGGTCAAGAAGAGGAAATACACCCTTGAAATTATCAAAAGTGATGCTCGTACCTGTGAAATCACGCATAGGTTTAACTGCCCCGAATCAACCATACGTTCCCTTAAGAAGAACAAGGAAGCCTTAACTACTTCCTGAGAATGTATTCTTAAGATTTTCTAGTAGCAGGATGTTCTCCGATACTTCACAACAAAACCTACTGTTAGTTATCACAGAACATTACCTTCACAAGTGGGTGGAAAGAAGAAACCGTGAGCAAGGCACATAAGGCATCAAGCACATGTTTATTATGCTGCAGTTGCACAGAAGAAACGTGTTGACTATCCACCACCGTTCAATGCTTCTGTTGGTTGGTTGGCCGCCTTTAAGAAGCGTTATGAAGTCAAGTTAGCCCACTACCATGGGGAGAGTGAATTGGCTGATGTCATAGCAGCAGAAAAATATCCACCTGTCTTTCCAGCTCTTGTGAAAGAGGGTGGTTATTGCCGAGACCAGGTCTTCAATTGTGACAAAACTGGCACTTTCTGGAAGCGCTCACCTTAGACCACTTTCATTACCAAGAATGAAAACCAGGCAAGGGGTGTAAAGACTTCAAAAAACAGGATTACGGTTTTATTCACAGCTAATGCAACTGGAGATTTCTTGAGTGTGCACGTTTACATTGGGTGCAAACACTGACAACAATGTTGTCTCTTTTCCTCTTGTGTGTTTTAATATTCTATGTATTAATGAATTGTATTGTTCACTTCGCATATATACAGATTAATTCAATCAAATACATATTCAATAATAAACAATAATGAATGATTTGTACATATTCTTAAGATAAATGAAGCAGTATCCTAAAATAAGCACGTATATGTTGGTGTTCCCAATCCATCTCTTTTTTTTTCTTTGCCATTAGTGGTTAGCTACTTCGATTGTTCCATTTATTAACATTAAATAACGTCACTTAAAACATATATATTAATATTTTTTTACATTACATTTACTACAGCTACAACCAGGGTCTTATTTTCATTTTCTCGTGTAGAACTATCGTCCCGGACTGCCGGCTGTAAACACACACGAAAACAATGGCGTCCCATCTCTTGTGTGACCATATTATTATTCATTTATATTGTATAAGGTGCATTCAGAAACATTTGAAGAATATAGTTTGCACTTTTCATTAATTGTATTGTTTTGGGGGGAAAAGAGGATAAAAAGCCACACAAAAGAATGCATCTCAACATTATTGCTTTATTTTAATGGTAATTAATGATTCGGGATAAGACGATTCACCTTGCACTGCAATATGGAGGACACATTAACGTCGTTATTCGAGGCTTTACTGTAATATTAAACTATTCTACTATCAGTCACTCTATAAAGACTTGTCAGCAGACAGACTCATTAGTTGAGTTACAAAAAATCAAGGCAGAACTCTGACAGTGACTACTAGGCTCTACCAGCTGAGGAGAAGATGGTAGACAACCCGACTCCTCACCACCCCGCAACCGTGAAGTGTTATCAGTTTGTGAATTTGGGAAGAAATATAATATTAAAAATGCAGTGGACAGAATTGTTGAGACATGGCTAAGATTAATGTTGCAACAGTGCTACCAGGGTTGCCCGATGATCTTTTCCACGGCTAAATTTCTCTACTTTGGCCGCAAAATACTTTGCCTGGCCGTGGAAAAATGGGTGGTCACGGCCGAATAGTGCCGATTTTTTTAAAACATGCATTAATTCCTCATCTAGTGGATTTTGAAAACAAGTCTACCAGATTTTCAAATTTCACAATAACAACACTGACTCAGTGACCACCTCGTCACATGATTAACCTACTGAGCTGACTGACCTTAGTTAGTTCTCATATTTGAGTTGTTCAGGCTGAATGTGTCCAGTTATACAGGTTTAGCTTCAGAGCTGTCAAAGCCAACCGAGTTACTTTGAAATTCTGAGTGCTAGTTTTCAAAATGTCCACTGGTAAATGGAAAGGGTCCTATGACAGTGGTAGAAAATATAACAAACCATGGTAAGAAAAATACATCTGGGTTACTAGAGCCAGTGATGGAGGTGAAAATGCTCATTGCAAAGTTTGTAGAACACAGATAGCTCCCAAAGCATCTCGTTTGGCAGATCACGAAAAATCGAAAGGACACTCAAGCACAGTAGCTGCATCGTCCATGTGTAGGGCCCTGCCTGTGATGACTGCTCCAAGGAAACGGGACAGTGAAAACAAAAAACGTGTAGAGTTCGAGTTTGCGGTGGCTATATCTAGTCACTGTTCAACAGCAAGTGTACACCATCTTGGGGAAATGATGAAAAGTGAACTAGAGAATCTGCAGCTCCATCGCACAAAGTGCAATAAGCTGCTTTTCAAAGTAATCGCTCCAGCATTGTTTGAGGAATTAAAAGAGGATGCAAAGGGCAAAAGTACTCTGTGCTTGTTGACAAAGCAACAGATGTGGCCACAGACAAGCAGATTTGTGTTATTGCGAGGTATTATAGTGATTCAAGATCGAGAATTGTCACGGAATTTGTGTGGCCTTGTGCCCACTGTTGGGGCCACGGGTCATTAAATGTTCTTGACACTAAGCAACACCCTGGGGAAGATGGGATTAAAGTGGTCTGACTGCGTCAGGTTTGGCAGTGATGGTGCATCTTCGATGATTGGTGAATATAACTAAATGTGGTCAAGAGTGAGAGAGCAGTCACCAAACTGCCAGCTCAACAGATGTGTCTGCCACTCACTTGCACTCTGCATTGAAAAGGCTTTTGCCAAGCTGCCATCTAATCTTCAATACCTCTTGCATGAAGTTCCTAAGTGGTTCAGTAAGAGTGTCATCTGTAGAGATGCATTAAAGGAACTATTTAGGGTAATGGATGCTAAGGAAGAACAAACTGGCACCCCTCTTCCCTTTCATAAACTCTCATGTACACGATGGCTAGTTCGAGGAAGTCGCCTATAATATCCTCTTAAACTGGGAGGAACCGAAAGCCTACTTTGCTGTTGCAGTTCCAAGGGCAGATGCTTCCTGTCGCTACAAAGCAAGAGAAATTCTGGGTATGCTGGAGGATTCAATCATTTTGTTGTACTTTCACTATGTGTCACCAATCGTTACAGAATTCGAAAGTTAATTTTTTTTTCAAAGGACAGATGCTGATCCTGAAGAGCTGGTCCTGCACCACAAGAGTCTTCAAGATAGAAACCTTTACAGGAATGGAAAACCACTGCCACTTAACATGGTCGACTATGGTGCCAAATTCATGCACGAGTTGTACACCTTCATAAACCAACAGAATCACTCTGCTGAAGCAGTAGGCAAGGTAGATGAAGTAATAAGCGATGTGCTGGTCTTTTAATCGAGGCCTTAAAACAAGTGGAAAGCAGGCTTCGAGCATCGACGCTTGAGTGGGGGGAGTCAGTTTTTTATGGCAAAATTCCCAGATTCTATCTCTTTCTGGTCTGGGGTGTTGCAATACAAGAATTCAACAGGCAAACGGCCTTTGAAGAATTAGGGACCTATGCTATGGCTTGCTTCACAACACCAGTAAGCAATGCTGTTGTCGAAAGAACATTTTCCACGGAAACCAACGTCAAAACCAAATCACGAAATCGGCTGGGTTCTGAAATGTTGGACATAATTATTAGAGTTAGCTCACACCTCCAATTCCAGGGAAAATGTTGCAGAGATTTCAAAGTAGCACCACACATGATGGAGCTATTCAACTCTGAGAAGGAAGAACAGGACGATGACAGACTAGATGTTTTTGCTTACGTCAACTAGTGTTATCATGCTGCTGCACCACCATTCCAGTTTAAGGTAAATCTTCACTGTATATTATAGTTATTATGTTTGTGTAATTATTGGACTCTCAATTCTAAGTGAAAATTTGTTTTATTATGACTCTTAAGTGGACATTGTAGGGGAGACTGTTTTATTTTGTGTGGATTGCAAAATTAGCCTCATGCTTCCCATCCAAAAAGATTTGGCCGAATTTTGGCCAAAAATGAAAAATGGTTTGGCCGATTTGGGCGAGAGATGGCGCGAGTGTCGACCGTGAAGCTTGTCGCACATCTGGCAACCCTGAGTGCTACACGCATGGAAGCCTTTGTTCACTAACTCCAAGATAAGTGGGGCAGAACAGACCGAGGCAAGCAGGGAGAGGCCGTCCATGGTGGCAACACCAATGGACACGGTGCAGGCAGCATGCTCAGTCCCAGCACAGGGATTTTCAGATGTTCAGGTTGAAGATTTGTAAGAAATCATTGGTCAACATCAGCAGCAACCAACAGTTAAAGAAATGTTGGAGGAGGATGAAGAACAAGAACAGCAACCAACACAAGAGGACGACGTTAAGCCTGGTGAACCTACAACACTCCAGCTTACCGAGTTGCTCACAAACATCGCACGTCTCGGCGAACAGCTAGAAGAATACGATACCGGGCCTCATCCTCGGAACCTTATGTGCTCTGCCCTTGATAAGGGTATGGAGGAATACAAGGCCTTGTACATGTCCCGTGTCAATGCTAGTCAGCAGGCCCTTATTACTCTGTACCTGTGCAAGGCCCAGCCTGTTATTAATGCCTTGGCAAACATCACTTTAGGAGATGATGATGGCACCACCGATGATGATATTGAAGTGTTGGGTGACTTACTGGAGGAAGAGATGCCTAAGACTTTGAGGGATTTGATGCTTAGGTTAGAGAAGGTGTAGGGGAGGGAGGAAGCAGTGACCAGCCTTCCCTGCCTTGGATCCCATCAACCAGCCCTATCAAGCATTTCACCGATTCCATCAATGGAAGTTATTCTACAGTATGAGTGTATGTAAATATTGTTATCAACAATATAATATGTATGAATACATCACTGTAATGTCATTTTCTTGGTGGGTTGTAGGTCATTACAGGGGGGTTTGGATGACACCGCAGAACTGATTAGGCTTATTTATATGTACAGCCTTTCAATGTCACTCGTTTCGCGCTTTTAACTTTTGCGACGCTAAAACTGGTACCAATTAGTCGCGAAACATGAGATCCTACTGTACATGCTATAACCAATAACCACTGCTGGATTTGTAGGGTAGGACTCTTATTAATTATTTAAATATAGTAGTGAATAACATTAACACAACAGAGACCTGCAGCTGATGCATTCATGTTTATGGATGCCAAAAGGAATGCTGTCTGGTTGAGAAGAATTTTTAAATCTATGAATAAATTTTCATACTGTACTGTGTGTGTGTGTGTGTGTGTGTCTACTACTGCTGGTCCCATACAAATAACTGCAGTCATCCTCCTCACACCTGGTAATGTCCCTCATCACCCCCACCCCTTGTACCCAACTCTACCACGATAAACTTTACATATAATCCCCCAAACACCTGGACTTTCAGCTAAATCACCAGGTTTATTATGTAATCTACAATATAATCATGTTCACATTAAATGTGTGTGTGTGTGTGTGTGTGTGTGTGTGTGTGTGTGTGTGTGTGTGTGTGTGTGTGTACACTAATGTGAAATACATCTAACAGTACAAATTCCTTAATGGACAATACAAAATATGACAAATTACCACGAGAAAACACACCTACCTACCTACCCACCCACACGATCTCCACACAAGAAAACAATTACCCACAAAATAAAATCCCAAACAACCACCATCACCAAAACACAATAACACTGTACAACCTGCAAATAAACAAAATAAAAACTCACAACCCTTAGGCCCACCAGATGACACATTAAGCCCACCCAGCATACTTCACCATTAGTCTCCTGAAGGTGTGGTCAAGTACTGTATACCATCATAAGTAGGTCTATGCATTGGGTAAACCTAACAATGCCATCTCCCTACATAAGATACGAACTTTACGCGCCATTTTCACACTTTAACGCACAGACAGACGAGCGTCTCTAGTTTTATGTCAAGACACATGGACTAAGCTTAAGCTAGCTGATTGCCCCAGTAGGAAAAGCTAATCTCTACAGTACAGTAGCTACCCACATTATCAACCTACTCACCACAGTGACTGTTTTACATGGTCGGCTCTTATCTCCATCACAAGTTTATAATTAACACAACTGACTGTGATTAAAAATTATAAAAATATTCCACAGTACAATACTTCTTTTGAGACTGGCAGGTTACTGAATAATATTGTGGAACCATTTGTAAGTGAGGAACTTTTGATACAGAGAAGCAGATTAGGTGCACTGATCAAATGTAGGCAGAAAGGCGAGTGGTAGGTAGCAGCAGAAGCAGGAAGACGTGCCACATTTTTGCATAAAACATAATGATAAAGGCTGCTGGCACTGATAACTTTATTATGATTTATGATAATTTTACTGAAGGCTGCCTGCCAACTTCTAACACTGTATAGTATAGGATACATCTTTTCTGGGAATGAATGGCGGATCAGTATCAATGCCTTGACATATAACTGGACGAGTGACAACACAGACACGGGGGAGATGCGACTTTCAGTATTTATATAACGTCCTGCAGGTAGAAGATATAATACAGGTACAGTAGTAGTAAGGCGCCTGTAGAAAGCAAACGGAGACATCATGGCATTGAAAACTCACACCTACTGTATACTGACGCTGGGGTGCTGCTAGTCGAGTCTGAGGAAGAGGTTTAGAATTTAAGGAAAGTTTCAAGCCTAAGAATCATAAAGGCAAAAGCAAGAGAGTAAACATGTGTTATATGAAGGGTGGGGGGGGGGGGGGGGGGAGACAGGCTCAGAGTAATAGCTAATGGGATGGACAGGGAGGTTGTCTGGGAACAATGTATCGTGACATATCCACCACCCAGGTAGGTCAGTAGTCCATCAGTTTTGGTGTTGGGTCACAGGTGTCAAGTGTTATTCTACTGCACTGTTTTTGACCAGGGCTATCATGGGAACCTGGTGTGTGTGTATGTGTGTGGTCAAACACAGGCCAGTACAGTACAGCAACATATTATTGTATTTAACCTATACACTACCAAGGCTGCATGGTAATAAAAGCCTTACAAATGAAAGAGAAAAAGCTAAGACATCACACAGTCAGCTCGAGCACTGGTCCTGCCCAACACACCGTAACTCAGGGATTGATGTTGGTTACCGAGTCAGATGGTGCAATGGCAGTCATGGTTACTCTGGGGTCAGTACAGTGACTATGGGATCAGCCCACAGGTGATCAACCCCTTCAAATTTAAGAAGAGAATTTCCCTTACTGTAATTTGCTGCCTCTAGAAATGTCAGTATGATTCTCTAGTACTGTTGTCAATCACTAAAAAGGAATCTTTATGCAAAATTAGGGGACCACCTGAAGATTACACACCCTTAGGCTAACCCTATTCCCCCACCCACAAGGTAGTGTTAGGGTGATATAACCGATCTGGAGGTGCATCTTCCTCAGGAGGAGAAGTAGTGGGAATACACAGAAAAGCATGAAAGTGAAGCAGGTGCAAGAGGGCGGGAAAACAATTGACCCTCAACCGTCAAGTGAGGTTTCCTTACTCTGACCCCCACGCAAAAATAGAATACACAAAACATTCCCTTATGATGGCCAATGTCCCTACAGCTAACATCCACTCATTGCAATCACCCCAATACCCAGCCTAATCTGTGAAAGGTTTGTGTTTGACAGGGCTTATGCTGATATTGCAGGAGTCATAGACCCTCAGCAATTTGGCAACATGAAAACTTCCTCCACCACTCACTGTCTTGTCAGCTTTCTCGATTACATATACCGCCATCTCGAGAAACGAAAAACGTCTGTAGCTGTCGCCTTCATTGATTTCACTAAAGCTTTCGACCTAGTCGACCACAATTTAATCATCAACAAAGCTATTGACCTCGGGCTTCGGAGAAGTCTTATACCATGGCTTACAGACTTCCTCAGTGACTGACGCCAAGCTGTACGCTTCCGAGGGGCAGTCTCCACCTTTCAGTCACTCACCTGTGGCGTCCCCCAAGACATCAAGATGGGACCACTCTGCTTCCTTATGCTTATCAATGATGCCCTAAGAGAAACCCCTGCTCACTGGAAATACGTCGACGACTCCACCATTGGGATCAGCGTCAACAATTCTGCTCCCGACTATACCGCCCTTCAGGATTTATTGAACAGTCCAAAACTGGGCCACCAACAACCATACCAAGACCATGGTTATACACATCAACCTCTCCTCCGACATTGTCCCACCCCCTTCCATTACTTTAGGTCCGAACACACTTCAGGTTGTAGATTCCACGAAGCTCCTCAGCGTCACCATAGACAACAAACTAAATTGGAAACCACACGTCAGTGATGTTGTCAAATCCTCCAGTTTCCGTCTCCACCTCCTCCGCCGACTTAAGTCCCTCGGAGTTCCTGCACCCGAGCTCCTCAGTGTTTACTCAACATTCATACTTCCCAAGCTCACCTTTGCCTCCCCCACCTGGTCTTCCTCCCTAAATGCCACACAACGTAAACACCTAGAAAAGGTGCAAAGGAGGGCATGCAAGATTATTCTCTCCCCTTCCTACTCCACATATCAAGAAGCGCTCAACACACTGACCCTTTCGACTCTCACTGACCATCACCACGACCTCATCTGCAAATTTGGTAAGAAGCTTCTACACCATCCTCGACACCGGCTCCTACTACCACCCGAGATCCCTAGCCCGAGAATTGCTGTTCGACACCACAACCGCATCCAGCCCATACGTGCACGAACTGATCGCTATAAGAACAGCCCAGTCCCAACCATTGTAAAAATTATCAATAACATGTAATAAACCAGTATATTCACTCCCAGTTAATACTACTTCTTGCACTGTCACTATGTCGAAATGCACTGTAGTTTGAGCTTTTCCCCATCTAGTTATTATATGTCTTATTTGTATCACTGTATATTTTCAGCCTTCTGGCTGCCAAGCTCTTTCAATAAACCGTTAATTATTATTATTATTCAATGATGGCCACCGCCCCTACAGCTAACATCCACTAATGATGGCCACTGTCCTTACAGCTAACATCCACTAATGATGGCTACTGTCCCTACAGCTAACATCCACTAATGATGGCCACTGTCCTTACAGCTAACGTCCCTACAGCTAACATCCACCAATGATGCATTACTGTCCCCATGAAATAACATCCACTAATGATGGCCATACTGTCCTGTTAGCCATATCAACTAATGATGGCTACTGTCCCTACAGCTAACATCCACTAAATGATGGCCACTGTCCAGCTAACATCCGTTTTCATCGAGGCTATCCCAGTACAGCCATGAACATCAACTAATAATGGCCACTGTCCCTACAGCTAACATCCACTAATGATGGCCAATTATCCCACAGCTAACATCAACCAATAACAATGGCCACCGTCCCTACAGCTAATACCATCCAATGATGGCCATCAACCCTACAGCTAACATCCACTAATGATGCATACTGTCCTGCTAGCCAATATCCACTAATGATGGCCACTGTCCCTACAGCCAACATCAACCAATATCAATGCCACACTGTCCCTACAGCCATTGATCCACTAATGATGGCCACTGTCCTACAGCTAACATCCACAATGATGGCTACTGTCCCCACAGCTAACATCCACCAATGATGGCTACTGTCCCAACAGCTAACATCCACTCAATGATGGCCACTGTCCCATATAGCCAACATCAACTAATGATGTATAATGGTCCTTACAGCTAACATCTACTAATGATGGCCAATGTCCGCTGCTGTAGCTAACATCCACTAATACGATGCCATACCGTCCCTGCCAGCCAACATCCACCAGTGATGGCCACCGTCCCTACAGCCAACATCCACCAATGATGGCCATCGTCCCCACAGCCAACATCGTAACCAATAATGGCCACCGTCCCTACAGCTAACATCCACTAATGATGGCCACTGGTCCCTACAGCAACATCAACAATGGCCAATGTCCCTACAGCTAACATCCATTTCCAATGATGGCCACCGTCCTGCCAGCTAACATCCACTAATGATGGCCACTGTCCCTTGAAGCCATCAGATGGCCATCGTCCCTACAGTAGCGATCCACCAATGATGGCCACTGTCTTGTACAACATCAACCAACAACGGCCACTGTCCCACAGCTAACATCCACTGATGATGCACATCGTCCCCACAGCTAACATCCACCGATGATGCACTACCGTCCCTGCCAGCTAACATCCACTAATGATGGCCACTGTCCTCACAGCTAACATCCATCAGATGAGGCTACTGTCCTCACAGCTAACATCCACTAAATATGCGCTACTGTCCCTACAGCTAACATCCACTGGATGATGGCCACTGTCCCTTGCCAGCTAACATCCACTGATGATGGCCACTGTCCCACAGCTAACATCTACTAATGATGGTATACACTGTTCACAGCTAACATCCACTGAATAGATGAAGCACAACCAAGTAGTTAATATCCACTAATGATGGCCACGTTCCCACAGCATATCAACTATTGTCCCCATGAAATAACATCCACTGATGATGTTACTGTCCCTTGCCAGCTAATATCCACTAATGATGCACATTGTCCATAGCGGAAGATCCACGATACGAAATACTGGCCCCATAGTTGTAATATCCACTGATGAAGCGCTACTGCCCTACAGCTATCATCCACTAATGGCGCCACTGTCTCCAGTCCACTGACATAAATATCGTCTCACAGCTAACATCCACAATGATGCACACTGTCCCCTAGCAGCAATATCAACTAATAATGGCTACTGTCCAAGAAGCTAACATCTACCAATGAGATGCACACGTCCCCACAGCTAAATATCAATTCAATAATGTCACTGTCTTGAAGAAAATCAATGGCTACTGTCCCTTGAAGCACATCTACTGACAGAGCACACCTGCAAGTAGCTAACACTGCAACCCATTTAATGGCTACTGTCCATGATGTCCTAATGATCAACTAATAATGGCTACTGTCCCATGCCAGCTATAAATCCATCAGAAGATGAAATATCCAATGACATGCCACTGTCCCCACAGCTAACATCAACCAATAATGGCCATTGTCCCAGAACCATACCACGATGCACAACCCCACAACACTGACCACGCACAAATGTCCCCACAGCTCACATCCACTAAATGATGCACACTGTCCCTACAGCCACAACATCAATCAATAATGGGCCACTGTCCCCATACAGTCAATATCCACTAATGATGCACTGTCCCCACAGCTGGCTGGTCCACTGATGACGGCCACTGTCCCACAGCCATGAGTCCATCATTGAGCGCCACTGTCTCACAGCTATCATCCACTAACAGATGGCCACGTCCCTACAGCTAACATTCACTACCGATGGCCACTGTCCCTACAGTTAACGGATCCATTAATGATGGCCACTGTCCCTACAGCTAACATCAACTAATACCGTTCCAGTTACACGGAGTTCCCATGGAAGAATATCCACTTGTTAGCGTCACTGTCCTTGCCAGTTAACATCCACCAATGACATTACTGTCCCTCATGAAGCTAATATCCGATTGATGATGGCCATTGTCCCTAGCTAACATCACCATTGTCCATGAGTTGTCCCCACAATATCAACTAATGATGGCCACGTCCTAAGAAGCTAACATTCA